ATTTTTTTTTTCCTCAAGTGACACTTTTATTACATAAAAGCATATGACTTTAGGATAGAGATTAATTTATCACTTCTATAATTTAGTCAATAAATAGAATAACAAAATTTAAGAAAAATATTTAATAACTTAGATTCAAACTCCAAGTCTATGAATATTTAGTAATCAAATTTAAGATTTCTAAATCTCTATTCTTTTCAGAAGAATTACAATTTGTCATCCTAAGGACATTTAGAAAATTCATATGAAAAAGAATTTCACAAAAAATTTACTCGAAATGCTACTAATACTTCAAGACAAGCTTAGAAAGTGCAATAAAGCTCCTTCCTTAAGTTGATTCAAGTAAAGCCAATTTTTGATTAGGCATCTCCTCAAGCTTCTCCTCACCTATTTTTTTCTTTTCTATTCTTTTCCTTTTTTTTCTTTTCTTTTAGGATCTTTTTATTCATTTCTTTTCTTTTTCTTTTTCTTTTTCCTTTTTTAGGTAAGGATTACTATATCTGGATAGTCTTTAATAGTTTTAAACTTCACTATCCTCTTCTTAAAGTCAAAGCTCCATACCTCTCCTTACTTAATAATGTCATACTAATTTATGATTTTTCATAAAGCCTCATTCCTTTCTTCTTACATGAAACTCTAAAATTCTTAACACTTTAAAAATACAATTTTTCTTTACTAAAAATAGAAAAACATAGTTTTATCATATCATGTCAAATATATTTAACTTTAGAATTGACCTTCATTATTAAAAACCTTTTACCTAAATTTACTATAATCTTTATAAGCATAAGTATAGTCACTTAAAGTTAAATCTTAATATCCCAGGTCATGTTAAATAAATTCTGAAAAATATAGTCACTTTAAGGCAAATAAAATTTATTTTTCTTCATTTCAAAAGAAAATTTTCTTTTCCCCCAAACTTAAATTTTTAAATGATTTAAAAATATTTTAGTACAAAATTTTAGTTAGTGAAAGAAAACAGTAAATACATGAAAATAAAAACTAACCTGTAGAGGATTTCTGAACATGAAATTGGATCTGGTATACTGCAGGTACTAACTGTAAAACTACATACAGGCTTTAAAGCATTAAATAAAAAATAATATATTCCAAAGAACTTGTTGGGAATTAAAATAGAAATACTAAAACTAAAAAATAAAAATTGAAAATACTACATATTCAACAAGCTCAACTGAAAATACTAAAACTGAAATTAAAAAGTAAACAGTTTATAATTACTATTACAAATTATTGGTCCACAGTATAACATAAAAGTCTGAATATATCAATCTCAAATAAAAAGTTCAACATAGTAAAAAAAACATAAATAACACATAACATCAAATCAAACTAAATCTAAACTATCAGTCATCATCTCCTTCACCATCATCATCATCATCTTCTTCTTCTTCTCTTGCTTCTTCA